CACCGCCCCCGGTGGGAGGGGGGCCCCCCGGAGGAGCGCTTCGGGCGAGTGCGCATGCGTCACCTCTGCGGGAGGAGGCGGGCGCCGCATCCAGAGTTCTCATTGGCTGAGTAGGCGTGAGCCCCGCCCCTGCCCCGCCCAAGTAAGGACGCCGGCGGAGCCGCAGGTGGGAGCGCAGGTGGGACCGCGGCGCGGTTCCTGTCGCTTCTACGCCGTCACCGGTGTCCTCCCACGGCTGCGGGCCAGACGCCTCTCGAACGTCACGTCTGCTCCACGGCTCCACCCCTGAGCCCGCGCCGGCACCCCGCGCCTCGTTCCCGGGCGGCCCGGCCGGGTGAACGGAGCGGTGTGTGGTTCCAGCCCGCGGGGGTCGTGGGAGGAGCGGGCACCGGCGCCCGGGCCCCCGGCCACACCGGGCCCTCCTGCTCCTCTTTCCCTCTGCCCTGGAGCTTAGCCTGCGCGGCGGAAAAATGACACAGTGTTGCCAGAGCCCGCGCCGGAGGCTCACGCCTGGGACCCTGGCCACTCCCGAGGCCCGGATCTGAGGATCGCGGTTCGAGACCAGCCCGGGCAGGAAAGCCCGCGAGACTCTTACCGCCAGTTAACCAGCGGAAAGCCAGAAGTGGAGCTGCGGCTCAAGGGGTGGAGCGCTAGACCCAAGCAAAACAAAGCTCAGAGACAGCACCCAGGCCCCCTGTTCAAGACCCAGAACCAGCACAAAACCAACCGGGAAAACCAATGAGGTACTAACCAGTATCTGTACTGTCACCCTAAATGCAAAAAAATAAAACTGTCCGTATTCAGGGGACAAAGTGTTGTACCCAACGTCCTATCGTATACATGAACACTATAGATGTTATTAAAGCGATCTTTTTAATACTTTTTATTGGCATACATTAGTTGTACAAGGGGATGTTTCCCTGTGACATTTTATACATCCGTACAATGTTACGGGATATGTTTTGTGTGTGTGTGCTGTTCTTGGGTCTTGAACTCAGGGTTTGGGTGGTGTCCGTGAGCCTTCTGACTCAAGGTTCGTACGAGCCACTGCTCCATTTCTAGCCTTTTGGTAGTTAATTGGAGACAAGAGTCTTGTGGACTTTCCTGCCCCAGCAGGCTTCAAACAGCGATCCTTAGATCTCAGTCTGCTGAGTAGCGCCCAGCCCCATACTGAACTTTTTAAATTAGTTTTCGTCAGGCGCTGGTGGCTCACGCTTGTCATCCTAGCTACTCAGGAGACTGAGATTTAGAGGATGGCAATTCAAAGCCAGCCCAGGTAGGAAAGTCCATGAGACTCATCTCCAATTAACCACCAGAAAAGCAGAAGTAGAGATGTGGCTCAAAGGGGTAGAGTGCGAGCCTTGAGCCCCCGCCCCCAAATTCAAGCCCCACAACAACAATAAGTTTTCCATGAACTGAAATATTTTTGAAAAATAACCAAATTTTACCTCACTTTAAACAATATATGTATATATGAAAATGTTCCTGCTGTTTTCCATTATTTCTCCTCCCCCATATATGTGTGTCCCTTCCTCTGTCTCCCTCCTGCACTCCCTCCCACCACTACACGTTCCTGGAAAGAGATATATCAGAATATTGACAGTGCTTCTCTTGAGTGAGATTGTGGTTAGTTTTCATTTCCTTTTGAGTGCTAGTCTGTATTTTCTAGATGATTCATTGTGAACAGGCACTGTTTTTATCATTAAGAAAACCGCCACAAATGTTACTTTGATTAAAAAAAAAAAAAACCTCTGCAAAAGAGAACAGTTAAGAAATGCTTTCAAGAAGCTAAAAATAGTCTGGTACAAGAGTACCGGAGGCTCACGCTTGTAATCCTAGCTACTCAGGAGGCTCATCTGAGGGTTGTGGTTCAAAGCCAGCCCAGGCAGGAAAGTCTATGATACTCTTATCTCCAATCAACCACAAAAAGCCAAAGTGGAAGTTGTGGCTCCGTTGGTAGAGTGCCAGCTTTGAGTGAAAGGCTAAGGGACAGTGCCCAGATCCCAATTTCAAGCCTAGGTATGGCACACAGACACACAGATACATACACAGAGCTAAAAATGCTTTTAGCTACGCCATCCATGTACACTGCAAAACCCACCACAAAGAGTGGATGGCATCCCTAGGAGCCTCTTTTTTTTGGGGGGGGGGGTCCGGTTGTGGGGCCTGAACTCTCGGCCTGGGCGCTGTCCCTCAGCTCTTCAGCTCAAGGCTAGCGCTCTACCACTTGAGCCACTTCCGGCTTTTTTCTTTTTGCTTATGTTGTACTGAGGAATCGAACCCAGGGCCTCATGCATGCAAGGCAAGCGCTCTACCACTGAGCCATCTTCCCAGTCCCCCTAGGAGCCTCTTACTAGAGTTGGTGTATGGTGGCTCATACCTATAATCTTAGCTACTTGAGAGGCTAAGTCCTAGAGGATTGAAATTTGAGGCCAGCCCATAGAGAAAAGGTGGAGAGACCTTCTCAACAGAGAGCTGGATTTGAACATGATAGCTACACAGGAAATGTAACATTGCAGACCATGTCCAAACAGGAAGCAAGACTCCTGGACTGAAACCAGCACAGAAAAAAATGAGGGCTGGAGGCATGGCTCAGTGATATGAGGGTTTGCCTAATAAACATTCAGTCCAGAGTTCAAACCCTGGTGCCAACTAAATCAATAAAGGGTTGGAAACTGATCTCCTCCAGTTCTAAAGGCTTGATAAGAAAGATGTGTAATCCTGCTATTTAGGAGGCTGAGATCTGAGAATCACAGTTCAAAGCCAGCCAGGACAGGAAAGTCTGTGAGACTCTTACCTCCAATTAATCACAGAAAAAGTCAGAAGTGGCACTGTCCCTGGGCACAAAAGGGATCGGAAACAGCCCAGGCCCAGCTTTCAAGCCCGAGAACCAGCAACAAAAAAAAAGGGTGGGGCCTAGTAAAAGGACACTAGGTTCTTCACAGCCGCCTGAAGGAAGTAAAGGAAGGTAATTCCTGCGTGGTGAGTGATTATCAAACAAGCAAGACCAGCCCTTCTTGCTCTCCAGTTTTCCCATCTACCCATGTTATCTCTTCAATCTCTTCAGCATTCATTCCCACCATGGTAATGCCACCCACTCTGAGGGTGGCAAACCTCCAACAGTGTGAGCTAAATAAACCTCTTGTACACTGCACCAGCCATGGGTCTTTCCTTACAGCAGCAGAAAGGAGACCAAAAACAGTTATCAAAAATGAGCATTAGGGCTGGTAAGGTGGCTCAGTGGTAGAGTACTTGCCTTACATGCATGAGGCCACATAAGCAGAAAAAGCCAGAAGTGGCGCTGTGGCTCAAGTGGTAGAGCATTAGAAGCTTAGGGATAGCACTGAGGCCCTGAGTTCAAGCCCCAAAACCAGCATAAAATAAATAAAGAAGAAAATCACATTTACAGAACACCGTATGTGGAAGTCCTTTCCCAAACAACCACACACACAACAGGGACAGTCCATGCGTGCGCACAAGAACACTGACACTCTACAGCATACACACCATTTAGTAGTGCTTGAACTTGGAGCTCTTTGGATGCAGAGCCTATGTGTACTTTTTTTTTTTTGGTCAGTTGTGGGGCTTGAAGTCTGGGCCTGGGCACTATCCCTCAGCTCTTCAGCTCAAGGCTAGTGCTCTACCACTTGAGCCACAGCGCCAAGCTTTTTCTGCTTATGTGGTGCTGAGGAATTGAACCCAGGGCCTCATGCATGCGAGGCAAGCGCTCTACCACTGAGCCACCTTCCCAGCCCCCTATGTGTACTCTTATGACCATATTAAAAGAAGACCCCAGGGCTGGGCGTGTGATTCAGTGGTAGAGCATCACCCTAGCAACCCCCAGAGTCACACACACACACACACACACACACACACACACACACACACACACACACACACGGAGAGGGTCAGCAGGTACCAGTAGCTCAGGCCTGTAATCCTAGCTACTCAGGAGACTGCTGAAGATCTCAGTTTGAAGCCAGCCTGGGCAGGCAAATCCAGGCAACTCTTATCTCCAATTGGAGATAAGAGGCTCAGTGGCAGAATGCCAGCCTTGAGCAAATAAGCCAAGGGACAGTGTAAAGCCTTTAGTTGAAGTCCCATGTGTGTGTGTGTGTGTGTGTGCACGCGCACACACACACACACACACACACACACACGGGAGAGAAGGGAGGGAGAGGGTCTTCAGGCTCTCAAAGATGGCATCAGTGATGGGCCACTGAGCCCTAATGCCTCCCACCCAAACTCTGTGATTCTTTTTTTTTTGGTCAGCCTTGGGGCTTGAACTCTGGGCCTGGGCACAATCCCAAGCTCTGCAGCTCAATGCTAGCACTCTACACTTGAGCCACAGCGTCACTTTTGGTTTTCTGGTAGTTTATTGGAGATAAGAGTCCCATGGGGGGGCTGGGAAGGTGGCTCAATGGTAGAGCGCTTGCCTTGCATGCCTGAGGCCCTTGGTTCGATTCCTCAACACCACATAAAGCAAAAAGAAAAAAGCCGGAAGTGGAGCTGTGGCTCAAGTGGTAGAGCGCTAGCCTTGAGCTGAAGAGCTGAGGGACAGCGCCCAGGCCCAGAGTTCAGGCCCCACGACTGGACCCAAAAAAAAAAAAAAAGTTTCACGGACCTTCCTGCCCAGGCTGGCTTTGAACTGAGATCCTCAGATCTCAGCCTCCTGAGTAGCTAGGATTACAGGAGTGAGCCACCAACGCCCGGCTCAAGCTTTGTGATTCTGTCTTACCTTGTTGTCCGACACGGCCCTGTGACACCACGAGACACAGGGAAGACACAGGCGCCTAGACAACCCCAGCCTTCGTCCTTCAGTGGGTAACGAATCCATTCTTCTCTTTTCTCCCCCCACCTCCCACTACTGGTAGTAGACTTTGAAACCTGGGACTCAAGATTTCTCAGCTTGCTTGGCTGGTGTTCTACACTTGAGCCATCTCCAGCCTGGCTTTTTGCGAGTTACTTTGGAGATGGAGTCTTGCAGACTTTCCTGCCAGGCTTGGAGCCCCAATCCTGTGGATCTCACCCTCCTGAGTAGCTATGACCGTAGGCAAAACCCACCGTGCCAGGCAGTGTGTACTTACATTCTAAAAAGAGCAAGTCATAACATTTATCCATTTGTTTCACTTGAAAATCTGATTGTATTCATCCGAGTGACCTACCAGAAATGTGCAGCTATTATAGGGAGAAGGACCAGGGACAAGACTAGTCCAACCTCTCAGAACGCTGCCAACCCTAGCTCTGACCTACAGCTTGACCCAGGGCAAGTTTCTAACCTACACCAAGCCCCAGTCTCCTTATCTGTACAACAAGCCTTTCAACATACACTGCACCATCGCTACCCAGAGACTGAGTGGACCCCTCCCACCTGGGCGCTCTCTTTGGAGGTAGTTATATGTGAAGTGTGTTGTGGGGTTTCCTAGTTTGAATCTTGCCTCTGCTTTTTTTTTTTTTCCCCACCATACCTGCGCCTTATGAGTGCATGTACACACGCGTGCCAGTGCAGGGGTTTGAACTCAGTTCCTGGGTGCTGTCCCTTAGCATTTTTGGTCAAAGCTGGTGCTCTACCCCTTAAGCCACAGCTCCACTTTTTGCTGGTTACTAAGCGTCTCACAGACTTCCCTGCCGGGACTGGCTCTGATCTCAGCCTCCGGTAGGCCACACACAGGCTAGCAGCTGGACAAGCTCTGCATTCTTTGACAAAGCCCGTCTGACTGTGAGTCAAACATTTCTTCATTTGGAGGCAAAGATAGGAACTTCACACCAGGGGAATTCCTTTGATCTGGGCAACACCCATCTTCATCTCCAAAGGAGATCAGATGCCTTTCTTTCCTCTACTATGGGGGTGGATAGGGTAGGAATTGGCCTGGGGGTGGGGTTCTCATCTGCAGGGGTTCTGGGGTTCCTTTCCAATGACAGAGAGCAACAGAAAACCCTGTGACCCTCCCCTCCCTCCTTAGGACTCTGCCCTTGAGGACCAGGCTGTGGTAGCAGCCATCTTTGGATGGGGCAGCCCTGGGTTGGAGGCGTAGCTTGGTGATAAGCACCTGCCTAGACCCACCTCAGGGGAGTATGCTCTTCTTATTATTCAGCAGCATGTACAGTAACTGCAGTGTGGTGCGGGGGATGGAGCCCAGGGCCTCTTCCTGCAGGCTAGGCGGGCGCTCCACCTCTGAGCCAGGCTCCAGCCTCCTCTGAGGTTCTAGATTCTGAACACTGACATTTGGATGGATTTATTTATTTATTGGTCAGTTCTGAACTCTGGGCCTGGGCGCTGTCCCTTAAGCTCCGCAGTTTGAGGCTAGCACTCTACCACTTGAGCCACAGCGCCACTTCCAGTTTTTTCTGTGTATGTGGTACTGAGGAATGGAACCCAGGACTTCATGCATGCTAGGCAAGCACTCTACCACTGAGCCACTTTCCCAGCCTCCTTGCCCCAAATTTTGAGACAGGTTCTTGCTTAATGGGCCAGGGTAGTTGGCCTAAACCTTAGGATCCTCCAACCTCAACCTCCAGAGGCAGGTTTACAGGCATGCACTCTATCACTGGCCTTTTTTGACCTTCTTTCTCTCTTTTTTTTTCTTTTTTTTTTAAGATGCTAAGGATCAAACCCAGGGCCCATTCCTTGAACCTTTGTGTGTGGTGTATGTGCCTGTATCTATCTGAACTTGAACTCAGGATATTAAGCTCTTATCTGACTTTTTCCATTCAAGGCTGGTCTACCACTTGAGCCATAGTTCCCCCTCCAGCTTTTTGGTGGGTACTTGCCGACCAGAGTCTGTCATGGTCTTTCCTGTCCAGGCTGGCTTTGAATCTCAGCCTACTAAGAATTACAGGTATGAGCCACAGGCCCCTGGTTCAGAACCCACTCCAGCCTTCGTCTTGGCCATGGGATACAGCTTAGCTAGGCTGAAGGAAACCTTGGGCTGTGCAGACAACCTGCTAATGGTTTAGGATGCATCCTCATCATTTGGATGTATTATTTTGCCCCCAGTGATACTTCCCCTGAGCTGTGGCGGAGATGAATGCGGGTGTGGCTGACACCCGCAGTGAGTGAGCAGCTGCCAGGGCAGAGCTGCAGGAAGGAGCTCCTGGGCTTGGCTAGTGCTTGGCTTGGAGTAGGAGCAGCTTGTGCGGCCAGCGTCCAGGCAGCTGTATGCACGGGGTCAGGAGGAAGTCCCTGTGCACCACCACCCATTTCCAAGAACTGCATCTGTGTCCTGTGGAGACACCAGACTGGGCTCTGGCTTGCATGGGGCGGGGGGGGGGGGGGGGGGCCGGGGGACCTGCCCTCTGTGACTCACAGCCCCCATGACTTGTCTCACAGGTAAGGCCGTGTGGCCCTTCCTGCCGGGGACAAGGAGCAAGGCGGGCCTCCCTTGCCTATACTCACAGGTGCTCTGGGCTGCAGAGGCCAGGGAGAGGCCGCGGGCGGGTCTGGGACGACAGGCAGAGGCAGCCCTGAGCTGGGAGAAGGATCCTCGTCTGTGACTGTGAGCTAGTAGGGCGACAGTCCACTCACCGGTCTGCCCATCAGTGTGGCTCTGGCTTGGAACAGGAGGTCAGGCGTGCTCTAGGGCCAGCTGCTGCCCACAGGAGCTTCCGGGCCGCCCCGTCAAGGCGGCAAATGTGGGAGCTGCCTGCTGCTCCTCCATGAGGTCAGCATCACCGTGGACACCTCCCTGGGGCTCACCCCACCCTGCAGAGCCTCCTACCAAGGTTGGAAGGGTCTTAATTCCCTGAGACCCCTGACAGGTCCAGGGTCAGATCCAGGAGGGCGGGGTAGGGAGAAGGTGTGCCTGCACAAACCGTTGCACCTGTCCTCTCTCTCCATCCACAGTGGGACGGCCCCACCCCTGCAGGGTGAGGATAGGACACCTGGAGAGCCGGAGAGCCCTGGCAAGCTTCCCTGGGAGCCTTGAGCCAGTCTGACGGGCAGCAGGCCAGAGCCGGCTGACCGCAGGGCCGGAGGGAAGACCGCTGCCCGCTCTGTCTCCTCTTAGACCTTAGAAGCCTCACTGTGCCCTGAGTAACCCCCACTCATCCTGCAATCCTGCTACCAGAAAGCATGGAGGGAGCTGGGCACTGGTGGCACACACCTATAATCCTAGCTACTTGGGAGGCTGAGATCTCTGCGGATTCCAGTTCAAAACCAAATTAGGAAGTTAAGTCTGTGAGACTTTTTTTTTTTTTTGTCAGTTGTGGGGCCTGAACTCTGGGTCTGGGTGCTGTCTCTCAGCTCTTCAGCTCAAGGCAAACAATACTCTACCACTTGAGCCACAGCGCCACTTCCAGTTTTCTGGTGATTAACTGGAGATAAGAATCTCACGGAAGCCAGGTGCTGGTGGCTCACGCCTGTAATTCTAGCTACTCAGGAGGCTGAGATCTGAGGATCGCGGTTCAAAGCCAGCCCGGGCAGGAGAGACCGTGAGACTCCTATCTCCAATAAACCACCAGAAAACTGGAATTGGTGTTGTGGCTCAAGTGGTAGAGCGCTTGCCTTGAGCAAAAGAGCTCAGGGACAGTGCCAAGGCCTACTTAAAGCCCCATGACCAAAAAAAAAAAAAAAAAGCACATAAGCAACCCACCCTGAAAAAGAGGCTGAGGGCAGCCCGATGTGTAGTCAGATAGATAGTGCCGAGGGCAGCCCTGTCCTGGCATGAACCCCCGGCATGTCCCCAGTGCCCCTCCCTCAAAGGCACCCCAACACTGGGACCTGACCTCAGCCACATTCCAAATAATCCTAGCTACTCAGGAGGCTGAGATCTGAGGATCGAGGTTCAAAGCCAGCCCGGGCAGGAGAGACCGTGAGACTCCTATCTCCAATAAACCACCAGAGAACCGGAAGTGGTGCTGTAGCTCAAGTGGTAGAGCGCTCGCCTTGAGCTGAAGAGCTGAGGGACAGCGCCCAGGCCCAGAGTTCAAGCCCCACGACCGACAAAAAAAAAAAAGGGAGGCTCGCTGGGCCGTGCGTGGGTGCCAGGGGAAAGCCACGTGGAGACAGAGTAGAGATGCCAGTCACAAGCAAGGGGCCTCCAAGCCTCACCAGCGGTCCCCGGCAGCTGTGAAGAGGCCAGGAGCCAGAGCCTCCCTCCCTGGCCTCCACTCAGCCTTCTGGCTTCCAGCGCTAGGAGAGAAATTATGTTTTTGTTGTTTGAAGCGCCTCATTTGTGCTTATTTGGGAGAGCAGCTGCGGGAACCTCACACGTGTGAGTCCTTGGGCCGCAAACACAAGCAGTGCGTGTTCACACTCTACCCCTACGGGGAGTGGGCAGGGAGCAGGGAGCAGGGAAGGAGAGGAAGAGGGCCAGGGGCGGGGGCTCACACCAGTAAACCCTGACTACTCGGGAGGCTGAGAGCTGAGCCCGGCCAGGCAGTTAAGTCTGTGGGACTCTTACCCACTGAGAAAGCTGGAAGTAGAGCTGTGACTTAAGAGGTAGAGTGCCAGCCTCGAGTGAAAAAGCTTGAGGGGACAGTGCCCAGGTCTTGAGTGTAAGTCCAGAATCTGAATGAAAGAAAGGAAGGGAGGAAAGGAGGGAAGGAAGGAAGAGAGGGAAGGAGGAAGGGGAGGGAGGGAAAGGAAAGGAAGAAGAGAAGCAAAGGAAGAAAGAAGGGAAGAAAGAGACAAACAAAGGAAAAGGCAGTCATGTCTTCTTTTATATAAGCGAGGTGTTTTCCCGGGCTTGGGGGCGGCGTGGAAGGTGGCAGCCTGTGACTGAGGCCTCCAAAGTTCTCTGAGCCTCAGTTTCCTTGCTGGCTAGGCGAGGGCCGTTCCTTCCTGGGGGCCCCCCTTCTCGGGCCGAGCATGCTCATCTGCGCCGCGAGGCGGCCCCAGGTCCTTCCCAGCGAGCGAAGGGTCCTTTGGTCCTAGCACTGACTGACCTCCGTTTCTCAGCCTACCTCGTACCTGGGTGGGGAACTGGGCATGGGTGCCGGGGGCTCCTGTCTCCATCTCCATCTCTGTGGTGCTGAACAGCGGGTTCTCTTGCTGTGGCTCACCGCCTGCGACAGCCCTGGGAACCACAGTGACGGCTGGGCTGGGCTGCCTCACACAGCTTGCCCTCCCCGTGCCCCTTGGGGTGCAGGGACGGCCGAGGCTGCGGCTCCGCCCGTCTCCACAGCCCCGGATGAGCCACCAGGCAGCGCTGGCCTAGTCAGACTCCCTGGCACACTTGGAACAAAACCCATAGCCTTTACGACCTCATACGGCCCTCTACGGGGCCCTCAAACCTGCTAAGCTGGAGCCGCTGCCCCGTGGTGTGGTGGTGTGTGGGGTGGGTGAGGAGGCCTGGCTGTGCCCTTGAGGAGGAGGATGGCGGGTATTCCGAGGGATGGGACAGGAGGCCCCGTCTGGTGTCCAGGAAAGCCAGGTGGGTGGCCATCCCGGAGGAAGCGCAGCCGGTGAAGATGAGCCAGGGTTGACGGCATAAGAGGGGAAGGCATTGGGAGCGGCAGGGTCAGGCTGTCCTTCGGGGACCCAGGAGGGGAGCTCCTGGCCAGGCTGGCAGGCAGTGACCCCCAGGGGGCCACACCGGGCTCCTGCCCTCGCTTTCCCACGCTGCCTGGCGGGCTTCTCTCTCCCCGGTGGGAGAGTGGCGTGGGAGCAGGTGCAGGCCCCGCAGCTCCGCCCACTGGCCAGCAGGGACTTGCCTGCGGATAATAGGCCTCAGTCACTCATGAGAACCATAACCAAGACCGCTAATAAAACTCAAAGCTAAGCAGAAGCCTCAGGGCTCCCAGCAGGTGGGGCAGGAAGGGCCAGGCGGGGCATGAGGCTGGCAGGGACGTGGGGGTGAGGGGAGGCCAGCAGGCTGCAGACAGACCACTGGACCCAGGCTGGGCCGGAGGGGCCTCTGCTGGGGACACCGGGATTCTCAGCAGAGCACATCCGCTCCACCCCAGGAGGAAGCTCCTGTCCCCCCCCCCGCATGAGACGAGAGGGCGGAGCATACAGCCAGACCCCAACACCTAGGGGGCCCAGATGCAGAACCCCAGGTCTGGTCTGAAGTTGACCAATGACAGAGGAGCCCCTTCGATGGCCCAGGGCAGGCGGCAGGCACCATGGTCTCGAGGCCAAGGGCCCTAGCTTCCCCTCCCTGGACCTCTCAGAGCCTAGGTTTCCCACAGCAGTGCTTCCTGCTGACCCTCCCCACGCCCTCCCCTGTCCTCCCTGCCGTCCCGGCCCCCCCCCACGCCTTCCCCTGTCCTCCCTGCCGTCCCCGTCCCCCCCTCCCCCAGCCCTGCAGGACTCCAGTGCTCCTACATTGGCCTCAGGAAGCCATGAGCACGAGGTGGGACACTGGGCTGTGGGGAGGGAGGAGACCCCGCAGCAGGCCTCACCAACATGGTGTGGATGTTGAATCCCCCCCCCCCACCAAAAACTAAAGGCTCCAGTGTGGAGAACTCAGTCTCTAGGGCGAGGCTCAGGGGAAGGGCTCCTACATCATGAACGATCCCTCCATTGATGGACGTGGAGGAAGTGGGTCTCGGAGGGTGTGTCTTTGGAGGGAGGGTCTTTTCTCTGGACCCCCCCCACACTGCTTCTCGGCTTCCAGGCTCTGGCCCCACATCCCTGCTCTAACCTGCACCCCTCTGCTGGGCCCATCTCTGCAGCAGCCTGACAGAAGCTCCCACATCTCTCCAGGGTACCATTCCCTGTCTCGTTGGATGCCCTGATGGGTGGACAGAGGACGGTAGATGGGCCGGTGGATGTGGGCAGAGGGTGGAGTCAGGTGGGACAGGTGGGTGAAGTCCAGGCTGGGACGCAGGCATCCCTGCCAGGAAAGGCCACATGGAACAGCACAGAGGAGAGGGGAGGGAGGAGGGAAGCAGGTGCTGCAGAGCATGCCCGGCACAGCACAGGCCCCTCACAGGGCAGCTGGGCCTTGCTCCACCCGCTCACCCTCCCCAGCCTTCTTAGTCACCGGGCTCATGGAAGGAACATGCCCTTCCCAGGTGGCCAGCCAGGCGGCCCGGCAGGGCCCAGCGGCGACCTCCCCCAGGTCTGACTCACAGCTGGCTCCAGGTTCTCACGGGGAGCAGAGGGGGGAAGAGGGAGGGGAGGGAAGCAGGCCCCAGGACCCTGTCCTTTGTCACAGAGGCAGGGGGCGTCCAAGCTCCCAGTTTGTGCTGTGCCACCCCATAGCTCTGTGCCCTGCTCTGAGCCTGGGTCCCTGCTAGAAAACGGGCTCCCAGGCCCCAGGGCACGGCACAGAGACACCTCCAGGCCCACAGCTCCAAAATGAGGCTTCTCCAGGGGTGTGAAGGCCAAGGGTGGGCGTGGGGCGCGGCGGCCCCAGGCAAGGGCAGTCTTCACAGGGGTGTCAGGGGCCCAAGAGGGAGAGAGGCAAGGAACTGCCGAGCCGGGAAGACTCCCTCCGCCCCCTCTGGCAGCGTGGCGTACCTGTACCTGGCGGCATCTGATGGGCTGGGGCGGTTGTTCTGGAAATGCAGGCTGGGGTTGCTTATCATGGAGATCGGGGGTGGCAGGGGAGGGCACTGGATGGTTAGTGAGGGGGGCAGTGCCCAATGGCTCAGACATTCCATCTCAGAAGAGTGAATGCTCGTGGGGAAAATAAGGCAGCCTAAGTCTCATGAATTCTAGCCAGTGGAGGACCTCAAGGGACTAGGCTCAGGTCAGCTGGCTACCAAAGGGCCCATGCTGAAGGTCCCTGGGGCACTCATCCAAGGAGAAAGTCGGGTGAGGGGCCACCAGCCCGGGACACACTGCTTAATGGGGACAGACAGATCTTCAGTTTGGGAAGACAAGTTCTGGAGATGGGCAGCCGTGATGGCTGGCCAACAATGTCAATATAATACAATTATTCAAGCTCACTCTTAAAAACCGTTAAGAGGTGCTGGGCTCCATAGTTTACAACTGTGATCCTTGCTACTTTGAGGATAGCCATCAGAAAGATGATGTTCCTGGCCAGCCAAGAAGGGAGACAGACTTCCATCCATCTAAATAATCACCACAGCAAAATGGCTAGAGGTGTGAATCAGAGGTAGAGCACTTGTCTAACACACGCAAGGCTGATTTCAGACCTCAATACTGCACCCCCCCGAAGGTGAAGATGGTGCTGCAGTGGGAATAGGAGCCCTCCCAATGCGCCTGTGTTAAAGGCCGGGTCTGCAATGCAGATGTCTGTGTCCAGAAGGCCCAGCCACATCTCTGGGCCTGCTAGGAGGTGCAGCCTGATTGGAAGATGCAGGCCAGGGGGCGTGGCTTGTTCTCACCCTTTCCTCTCCCCCCTGCATCCTGGCTGCCATGAGGAACAGCCTCTCCCACTCTCCCACCACCTTGTACCTGGCCTCAGGCTGCCATGAGCCTCTCCTTCCTGCTGCTCTCCTCGAGGACTGTGCACGAGAAGCTGGCTACTCCACTCGTAAAATGTTACTTGTGTGCACTTAGCACAGTGGAAGGGGATGATGGGCATCAGATTCTATCGAAGCCACAGCTGGCAAGGTGGCCCAGCACCCAAAGGTCCTGCCGTCTACCCAGCACTGGAGGAAAAAAAGCTACTCCGGAGGTTGAGATCTGAGGATCACTGACCAAAGCTAAGCCTGGGCAGATTAATCAATCCAGCCAAAAACTGGAAGTGAAGGTGTGGCTCAAGGCAAAGCATCAATCTTGAGTGAAAAAGCTAAACAAGAGCTTCAGGCCCGAGTTCAAATCCCAGTACTCATCATAGACAAAGGAATGAGGCGGAGGGAAGCTGAGTAATCACAGGGCACAGCACCCAGCACTGGGCATCTTAACTGAGCCTGGAGCGGTGGGGAGAGGGTGGGAAGGTGTCACAGGTGCTGTGAAGTGCAGTGCCCCCTGGAGGGCCGTGTGGGAAGCGCAGACTTATCACACAGGAGGGGCAGGGCTCTCAGATGACCTTTCCAGACCTCTCCCTCCACACCTCACCCATGGCCCTCATGGCAGCCCTGGGAAGTCGGGACCGAACAGGAGAAAACAGGTTAGAAAGAGCTGTGGAGTGGGTCTGGGCAGAGCCCCGGTCCCCAGCTCAGGACGCCTGGAGCACTGAGGTGAGTGCATGAGGGAACAGGGCTGGAGCAGCCTGTGCAGACATGGGGGTGGAATCTCCTTCCGGGGGGCCTGGGCAGCACGAAGTACTGCTTCCGGGTCACAGTGGTACTTGAGCCAGGGGTGCTGGGGAATCACCTGGGTCAAAGACCAAGGTATAAACCCGACCCTGTGGGGAAGGCCAGTTCCTTCCCCTACCCCTGGGCCTGTCTGGCTGAAAGCATGAGCTGCCGGGGTGGGGGCACGCGGGTGGGCCTTTTATCACGGCTGGGCGCTTATTTTTACTCAGCAAACAGACGGAGCCTTTCTCAGATGCGGCCGTAGGGGATGTGGGCAGGGCAGGGCAGGCAGCAGGTGCACACAGGCTGATGGTAAGATGGGCGCCGCTGCCAACAGAGTGCCTGGGTTGGGCCCCGGCTGGCCGCCTGATGGCTGTACACATCACCACTGAGGACAGGGATGTGGCCCAGGCCCTCATCCTGGGGCAGCACGGTCCCAAGTCTCGCAGTGGAGACCAGTTTTGAGCAGTGAAAGGCCGGTCTAGACAGACATCTGGATGTAAGCTTGTGCCTGTAGCGGCTGTAAACTATTAATCACCAATAAAAGTTCCAATTGGGAGAAGCGTATAAACCTAGCATACACTGGTGAAGACAACTGGGCGTGGCAGGGCCCGAGCTCAGGGCCTCAGCTCTACTGCCATCACTGGCCCGTGTCCATCTCACCCTCTTTTGTCACTTGCCTTTGACTAAGTGAGGACACAGCCATCCCTGGATCTGTGTGGCTCATGTGTCTCTCTAGCTAGCCCAAGACTCAAGAACAGTGGTCTGGGGCTGGGAAGGTGGCTCAGTGGTAGAGAGCACTTGCCTTGCATGCATGAGGCCCTGGGTTTGATTCCTCAGCACCACATAAGCAAAAAGCTGGAAGTGGTGCTGTGACTCAAGTGGTAGAGTGCTAGCCTTGAGCTGAAGAGCTGAGGGACAGTGCCCAGGCCCAGAGTTCAGGCCCCACGGACTGCACCCAAAAAAAAAAAAAGAACAGCGGGCTTTTGACAGAAATGGCTTTCCACCGCACACTCCCATGGGGGGAACCCTGTCTTGGTGCCCGCAGCCTGAGGGCCCGAGCACAGGCCGCCCCAGCCATGCTTGCCCACCAGCTTCTGGGCCCTTGGCCAGCGGTGCCACAACAGCCAACTACATGACTCAGAACCCTAGCGTGGAAGTCATAATAGGAAAAAGCAGGCAGAGCCCGGCTTCTAAGGCAGAGGTCAGCCTGTGCTTCTGGCCGCTGGAGGGGGTAGGAGACAGGAGTCTCAGGGTCACTCTTGGCAGGGAGCCGGGGAGGCAGTGCCTGGGGGCAGGATGGCTGGTGTGGAACGGGGCCCAGGTCCTGGCGAGGAGGGGACACCTCCCCCCAAGCTCCCCCCATAACCAGGCACCATAGGGCAGACCTGCCCCTTCCCAGCCCTGACTTGGCAGAAGGGCTTCTGCACTGGGGGCCCTGTCCCGGTGTGGGCCCTGGAGTGTCAGAGGGGTGCAAGTGGACTGAGCTGAAGCAGCCCCAGCGTTCAGGCAGGAAGGGGGGTTGCAGACCTCCACCAGGCACGGGGGAGCCCCGGGGCCAGGTGAAAAGGCAGCAGGACATGGCTGTGAAGACCCAAGGGTGGAGGCATTCGCTGGAGGGAGAGGTGGCGAGGGTGGGAGCCTGGTGAACAGTGGGGGCTGCGGGCTGGGAAGGTGGCTCAGTGGCAGAGCGCTAGCCTTGAGCTGAAGAGCTGAGGGACAGCGCCCAGGCCCAGCAGGGTGAACAGGCGTTTGAAAGGTGGAAGGGAACGGCTCTCTGGCCAGGCTAGACACCCCCATGAACAGATACCTACATGCAGGAGAAGGGCTGCCAAGTGAGCCTCAGACTACCAGAAACACAGACCACAGAACTATAGAGAGGAACAGATTTTTTTTCCTTTGGTTCCATTCCTGGGGCTTG